CAAAACATTCCTTTTATACTACATTTCTTTCACATCACATTCATTTTGAGCCAACCAAGTAGCCCCTAAGTTGGGATTATTAATTGAATTATCCATTAGTATTTAGATGAAATTACATCTTAAGAACCATGCAATAATTTTCTTACACCCAAGATGTACACTATCCTTTCCCAAGTTTGTCACCAAGGTTAGGACCTCTCATAATTTATATATCTAAGGTCTTGTAAATGTGCAGGAAAAGAAATATTTTATTTATCTATCTATGGGGTGTTCATTTTATGATTTTTTTCTTTAAGTGATGGAAGATCTCTATTATTCCTAATATACCCTCTTAATTGGCAATATCAATGATGCATGACAGGAAAGGAAGATGGTTTTTATTTTAAGTAATTTTTTTTAAATATAATACATGTAAATTTCATTAATTCATGTAGATTAGGAACAATTTTAACCAAGTAGTTTATATTTTTAGCAGATCAACACTAAACTAAAGAATCATGATTCCAATTACTCTCATTTTGTTATCTTATTGATAACATTCAAAGAAAGCCTGAGCACTGTACATGTAAGTAATAGATTACAAAAAATTACACTTATAGTTTTTAATAGGGTTGCAAACGAGCCGAGCCGAGCCGAGTATGTGCGTGGTTATGTTTGAGTTGGTTTATTATATGCTTCTTTAATTTTAGTTCGAGTTTGATTCGAACTTTTTTGTTTGTGTTTAAATTTAGTTTGTTTAAATTAATAGGTGTTCATGTTTGATTCATTTTATACTTATCAATCTTTAAACAAATGAGCTCTAATTCTAGATAGACATTAACTTAACAAACGAGCCTTATCAAGCCTTTTAATAAACATTTACATCGAGCATGTTCGTAAGCATATCAGTTTTTTAAACTACAAAACAAGATTGTTCACGAACATATCTAATGAGTATTCTTGAGATGTCAAATGAGCCCGTTCATGAACATATCTAATTTGTATTTTCGAGCTATCAAATGAGCTTGTTCACGATTAAATGATTCATGATTTATCTTATATTTAGGTAGAACAAGAAGTAAAAATAAATTATTAAACAATTTTAGACGGAATCAGTAAACTTAAATTACATTTTAACAATATTTAATATTTAAAATTCTAATATAGTTCTAATCGAGCTTCTTAGTCGAGCACTAATTGAGCTTCTTAACGAGCTGAGCTTGTTTATGAGCATTAAATGATACTATTCATGAACATAAACGAACCAAACACTAAGCTGTTCAAACTCGTTTATTTAGCTTTCAAGTATTTATCAGAAGCGTTCAAGCTCGTTCGTTTATCTTATCAAACAAACATGAACGAGCACTTATTGAGCCGAGCCGCGAGTAGTTCATTGAATTTTCGATTCATTTGCAGCCCTAGATTTCAAATATGAGTTCGAAATCAAATGATTCAAGCTTCATTGGGGATAGCTTTCTTACTGCTTTTAAATACAATTTTTTTGGAATTATAATTTTTTATACTAAACAACTATTTTAAAAATAATATGAAACTATCCCAAACAAAACATCAATCTACTATCCATCAAAAGGCTTTTGGTAGGGGTGTCAATATTTGACACGACACGAAAACCCGACCCGATTTCAAAACGGGTCGGGTTTGGGTTCTTGTATTCGACCCGTTTGAAAAACAGGCCGGGTTCGTGTTGACCCGACGGGTTGCCGGGTCAACCAAGAAACTCGTTTGAAATGAGCTACACGCGCTGCTCGAGACTGCTGGCACCTGCCCCGGCTGCCCGTGCACCTGCCTACGGCTGCCATTGCCTACCAGAGGCCGCCCGCTCGCCCGTTTCTACCCACACACCTGCCCACCAGCGCCCGTGGATGCCCGCGCCTACCCGCTTGCGTCTGCACCAACTCGCTCGCGTCTGTTCCCTCCTGCAGCCTACCACCAGCCGTCCCACGCGCTCGCTGCCCGCCATTCCGTCGTCCCACCGCCACCATAAGAGGAACCGTGTCGGGTCGGGTCAATCCGAAAACATGATGGGTTGGGTCCGAGTCCGAATTTTCGACCCATTTACATACCAGGTTGGGTTAGGGTCGACCCTTTTGAACCCGGGTCAGTTCCGGATTCGACTCGAACCCGACCCAAAACCCGATTTTGACACCCCTGCTTTTTGGTCCTCCTTCAACATCATTATAGACTTTAAAGATGTTAATCATATCATCCATCATTGAAACTAAGGGTGCGTTTGGGACGGCTGCAGCTATCAGTAAAGTAGGTTGCAAAGTTATTGTATAGAAAGTTACTTTCAGAAATTGCTGTACATAAAACAGTATATTTTGTTTGGGAAGTATAACTGTTAAGTTGCTGTGTTGCAGCTGTATGTGAATAAATTACCTTTATACCTTTACATATTGAGATGAAAAAATGATGTAAATGTTAATTTTTTTCAAAAAAAAAAAAAATTGTTTTGGGAAAATTGAGCCTTAAGCATTATTTTTTATAATTCAAAACCATACTACACTATACTGTCACACCCTCTTTAAATATTCATGTGATTGCTTGCATGGATTTTAACTTTTATTTCCTTAAAATAGAGATATTTTAGCTCGCAACCAACTTTTAAGCATATTCTTCCTAGAAAAATAATTTTTTATTATATTTATTCAATTTCTAATATTAAATGGCATATAGAGTAAAATTTCTCTTTAAAAAATCAAACTATGCAAACCATTTCAAGTTTCCTAATTATGTTAAGTCTTTGGCCCATAGTTCGGGCTGAGTCGAGCATGTGCTTGTTCATATTTATGATCGTCTATTATCATCTTGTTCATTTTTGTATGATCATAGTCTGAGCTTTCTTGTTCGTGTTCAAGCTTGGTTCATTCAAGTTGATGGATGTTCATATTTGGTTTGTGTTGAGTTTATATTATATTTGTTTCATGTTTTTCATGTTTTAAACAATTGAGCCTTATCAATCTATAAATGAGCTCTACTTCTAGATGTTTATTAGTTTAACAAACAAACTTTATTTACTAACAAACATGTTTGCGAACATTTCTAGCAATGGTTTTGAACTAACAAACAAGTATGTTCATGAACATATATTGTGGGCATTTTTGACAACCAAAAGAGACTATTTGCGAACATATCTAGTAAGGGTTTTTGAACTAACAAACAAGCATGTACATAAATACATCTAGTGAGTATTTTTGAACTACCAAATGAAATTCGTTGGTCATTTGAAGGCTTTAATGATGTCGGATTTTGATGATCTTGGGCTCGTTGGATTCGTCTCGTCGAGCCGTTCGATTCGAGTATAAGCTCGTCAAAATCGGAGACCGTTTAGTAACTCAAATTGCTGCTTGAACCTTCCAACAGCGCTTTGAACCCTTGATTCGGACTCATTTGGGCTTGGATTGGGTTGATCTTGGTGTCGTTGGGTTCGTATTTCCGAGACGCTCAGTTTAACTGTAAGCTCGCTGAAATCGGAGTTCATATGATCCTGAAATTAATTTTTGAAGTTTCTAACTAGCTTTTGCCTCGAGATTCGTGCCCGATCAAAATGATTTTGTGATGCCGTATCAATACTAAAGAATCGGTAAAGAATGTAGGAATGAAGAAATTATTGTGATTGCAATTCGAACGCAGAGTAAGGTTCGTATGCTGCGTATTTACGGCTTATTTTGCTGCGTTTTTTTTATATATAATTTTTTTTCTACGTATTTTTTGCTTATTTATTGTGTATTTAGTGATTATTATTTATTTGCAGCTTATTTGTCACAAAAAAATTATGTATAAAAAAATACACAGCAAAATAAGCAGTAAATACGCAGCATCCGAACCTTACTCTGCGTTCGAATTGCGTACACAATAATTTCTCATAGGTAGGAATGGGCGAGTAGATTGCAAAAGAACAGGAAGAACTTGACTCTCATACTTCTCTATATTTGATGAAGAAGAATTGACAAAAAAAAATTACAACAACAACAATATTAGAAGAAGAAGAAGAAGAGTAGCCCAAAATCTATAGTGAGAAAAAAAAAAAAATTATGACTATCTGCAACCTCCACGAGCGAAGAAGATTGAAGGGCAAATTAGACTAACGGGAGCTTAATAGGATTGTAGATTTGATCTATTAGAGATGTTAGGATGGCATACAAATAAATACATAGGTTTGAAGCAGTAAGAAAACTATTACAAATAAAATCATAATTATGAGTATTAGATATATAGATACAAATCTATTAAATGAAATGTAAATCCCCCTTACAATTTTAATCACAAGCCGTTCGTTTGAGGATAAATTATTATGTGCGGAGTTCGGGCGTAGAGCTACATTTGGACTCCAACTAAATGACGATGCGCGGCTAATACACTATATTAGTTATATGTATATATTACCTATGTATTAATACACAGCTAATGCATTCCGGTACACAATTAATATATAACTAATATATAGCTAGTACAAAGTGTGTATTATAATACACAATATGTAATATTCAATACACAGCTAATATATACGGTGTCAATATTTGACACGACCCGAATACACAACGAATTTGACATGAAAATTTTGGGTTCGGATAAACTCGAACCCTAAATGAGTCTGGTTCAAGTTAGGGATTTTGACCCGTTTGTAAAAACAGGTCAGATTCGGGTTGACTCGAAAACCTGAAATCAACCCGATTTGACCCGCTTTTAAATAAGTTAGGAAGATTTTAAAAATTGTTATTAAATAAGTAAATGTTATTTCCAAAAAAATAATAAACTATATTGTCCAATTTGAATTAAGCTTAGTTTATTTTAAATTGATTGAAGTAAATATTACTTTAATTCGATTTAGATTTAAATAAATCGAATTAAATAATTTTTTTTAGTAAAATATATCCGAAGAGGATTGGATTAGGATTGACACGGACCCAAAACTGATTCGGTTGAGTCCGAAAAATTTGAACCCGAACCAAATTTTAACAGCACTTTCTGCCGTTTGAGAATCTATAACATACAAATCCTCTATTGGTATGGTCGGTGTGTGTGGACTTCGCAATGGCGCTCTACATTCGGCGCTTGCGTTCCCCGATCTTCTCCAAAACGAAACTCTTCCTCCTCCAAAACCATATCACCATACCCTGTCTCTATGATTTCCGTCTCTTCTCAGCTTCTCCTCCCCGTCACTCTAACCCTAACCCTCGAACCCGGTCCCTTACTCCCCTCGAGAAACAATTCGAGACATGGGTCTCCCGTCTCAGCCCGGGCTTCACCTCCGCTGACGTCGACGCCGCCCTCCGCGAACAATCCGACCCCGACCTCGCCCTCGACGTCTTCCGATGGACTTCACTCCAACCCGGATATCGCCACTCCCCCTCCACCTACCACACTATGCTGGACATATCCGTATCCTCCCGCCGCCTCTCCACTGCGGAATCCCTAATCTCTGACGTCCTCTCTGGTGCCTGCCCCCCCGATCTCCCCCTCATCAACTCCGCCATTCGCTTCTGCTGCTCCCACCGCCGCCTCTTCTCCCGCGCCTTCGACCTATACAGGCTCATGCTCCGCCCCTCCGCCGCATGCCGCCCCTCCCTTGAGACCTTCTCACTCCTCCTTGGGGTCCTCCTGAATCGCTTCGGCAAGCCCCCTATCTGCTACATCTACCTCCGTTCTGTTCGTTCACTCGTGCGCCAGATGAAGACTGCCGGAATAATTCCCGACACTTATACTCTCAATCTCATCATCAAGGCCTACGCCATTTGCTTGGATATGGATGAATCAATGCGGGTTTTCCGCGAGATGGAGCTTTATGAATGTGAGCCCAATGAATACACTTATGGGTATATTACGAAGGGGTTTTGCGAGAAGGGACTGGTTGATCGGGGATTTGGCTCTTTTACTGAGATGAGGGATAAAGGTTTTGTACCAACGAGCAGCGTCTACATGGCTTTGATTTGCAGTCTAGCTATGCAGGAGAGGTTTGATGAAAGCATAAGGGTTTTGTTTGATATGTTGGAGAATTCGTTGCGGCCAGACGTTTTGACATATAGGACGGTTTTGGAAGGGATGTGCAGGGGAGGGAGAACAGAGGAAGCGTTCAAACTTTTGGAGGAGCTAGGGGGGATTACCAGAGGTATGGATCGGAGGGTGTATTCTGATTTGTTGGATGGAATGCATTGGCTCTGTAATCCACAGGATTAATGCTCTTGGTTTGAAGGTTCATCTGGATTGGCCGGAGCTGTGATTTGGCTTGTGTTTGATCTTTGAAGTGACTTTTGGTTGATCATGGAGGAGATGAAAATGAAAAATTTGTAGTCATGCAGAATGCTAGGATGAAGATACCACTGGAGGGACATTGCATCTGTACAGAGGAAGGCTTTCGTTGACATATGCATATATTATACCAATCAAGAATAGCTTATTGATGGATATCAATTGATATTTCGAGTTTTGGCTTAAGAGAAGCTTATTTGTAATCATGATTACTATCTTGAGTTTGGCATGAGTTTTGGTTGCTGCAGCGCATAATCATAAACAACGTATAAGCAGCTGGAAGCCTGGAAGGAAACAAGACATGACTTTCTTCATAATTCTTTAGAAGATTTTGATATTGCCTATTGGAGCTGACTCTTTATTGGGTCTTATTAATGGAGAAAATTTTTCGAGGTGATGCTTGTGATGAGGAAATCTACGCTCACCATGGCTTTTTATTCATTCTTGAGCAATTTTTTCAACTCTTAAGCAGGAGATAAGTTTATTTTGCTGAGTAAGACTATCATTTAGGTCTATAAGAAAATTGCAAATGCATTCATGTAAAGTGGAGTGCTCTTCTACCTTTGGATGTAGATGGTGTACAGTAGCATCATTAGGAACTTGACTACTTGAGGACATTTGTTACATTCCAGTACTTAGGAAGGGAAAATATAAGGATTATTCCGTCGGTTCAATGAATTAGAGCTGCCTAGATTGACGCAAAGTTTGAAAAATTGTAGGCAACTCCTAGTTGTTACTCCCATCGATGCTAATCTATCTGAATATTGGTTTCTATTTATAACCAACCACCTCTTATATGCCGGATGTGCAATTTTAGGTCAGTGAGTGAATGTTTTTTTATTGTATATTTTATTTCCTTAAGTCATATGAGATCCAGTAATCTAATTTGGTATTTGACATCATTTCAACTTTTCTGTCTGTTCTAGTACCATCTTATTGGAGAGCATAACTTGTTTGAGATGATTATCAGTTGTGGAATCGAGTTATGTTGATGACTACATATTTCTGGAAACAATCTTTTGTAAGAGAAATGCATGTGAATCTGTGAAAATTATCCACTTCCAAAAGCATTCAATCTAAGCTTGAGGTTATACTCAATGCGTTTTAAATTACCCAACATTATATAAATAGGGAAATCTCTTTATTTAAATGTTGCCTTGTGATTTGTGATATCCATCCTTTGATCATAATGCCATGTGGATAGCGCCTACTTAATATTTTTTAGGGATCTACACACAAATCATAAAATAGTTACTTGTCTAATATATGAATTTTTATATTTATTTATATAACATTAGAATAATTGGTTTAGATGGAAAAATTCTGAAAACTGAGAAAGATATAAATAGGCTCATAAGGTGTCTAAGAAAACAATCTCCGATGTAAATATTTTAGCTTTTAATGATTTATATAATAGATTATATTCTAAATAGGGCAAAAGATATATGTATAAGTTAGCCAAATAAAGAGATAGGAGTGGTAAGAAATAGTTCAAGTGAAATGCATTAAGGATGAAGATCAAAAAGTGTTTTTTTTAGAAGTGGATATTCAACAAAGGTGGATAAGATATTTTGCTAAGTTTTTCAATGAAGATTGTGTGAATACTATTGACTTTAGTGACCTTAACACTCTAAACGAAAATATAGTTTTTTATTTTTATTGGCGTATCAGTAAAATTGAAGTTAGAGAGGCTTTAAAGAAAATGAATAGTGGAAAAACTATTGGACCTGATGATATTTCAATAGAGGCGTGGAAATGCTTAGGAGATGAATGAATTTCTTGGCTTACTAAACTTTTTAATATTATTTTGAAAACTAAAAATATGGAAGCTGAGTGGAGAATGAGTGTGTTGATTCCTATTTTTAAGAATAAAGGTGATGCACAAGATTGTGTGAATTATAGAGGAATTAAGTTGATGTGTCATACTTTAAAATTTTGGGAGAGAGTTATGGAACATAGGTTACGACGTTATACTTATGCTTCTCAAAATCAATTTTTTCATGCCGGGCAAGTCTACTATGGAAGCTATTCATTTATTGAGAGGGTTGATGGAGAAGTTTAGAGAGAATAAGGAGGATTTATATATGATATTTATTGATGTAGACAATAAGGAGCATTAAATAAATCCTATGATGCATATTTATTTAACTTAGATGTGTCAACACATTTCTATTAGGATTTTTGATAAGAAAGTTAATCAAGCTTTAGTCTCTTATGCCTTGCCCACTATATGATAGTATCGAAACTCCTCTTTATGCCCGTATGTTCTTTATTTTGCTAGTAGCACTTTCTTTTTCCTTTAATATCCATATTCCAAGCTCATATATTTTTGGAGGTTTCAATCCTTGACCATAGTTCCCAATGGAGTTTTCCATACTGAAAAAGATGGACTTGTAGCATTAAATCCAATTTTTAATAGAAAAATTCCAATATCCATACAAACTTGATTCAAATGTTCTTTAGAGGACACTGTTGTGATGCTTTAACTTTGATCTTTAACATCATGTTTAGGGTCTTTAATAAATTAGTCCACAGGGCCTTGAATTCTTCTTGTAAAAACATAGGTATTATCAATACTACTAATAGGACTACAAATAGGACAATCAGTAGTATCAGAAATGGAGGAACCAAAATATGATCCATTTTCAATCATTTCATAGATATTTGTTGATGTTGATGTTCTCCATTGTAAATGCATTCATATAGTTTGATATTTTTTGTACTTCATCTGAAAAATTTTCACATGGCCCCACATTCTTATGAATTTGAGCAAGGCAATCCTTTAGCATTTTAACACCTTTTCTGATAATTATGCAACTAAAATTACATTTGATATACATGTAGCCTTTCTTGGCCTTCTTTGCATCTAATTCAGCTTGAGTCCCATACTTCCAAGTAATATATTTTCTCTTAACATCAACTTTCACCATTATAGTTGATGTCCTACCGTTGTGGTGAAGTATTAAAAAAAGGCAATATGATTCTATTTATCGAAAGTCTATGGCATGATAAGGATTAAAAAAAACAAACATAATTGCTAAAATTTGAAATATAATTAATTTTTCAAATTATGAAGAAGAAATGAAATTGAAAGGAAAGATATAAAAAACTTGTTGAAGCCTAAATTTGACAATAAAATTAATTCTTCTTAAGAAGAATCAAAATGAAAATAAATAAAGAAAAAAAGTTGTTTTAGCCTTGAAATAAAACTCATTTTGAGAAGTAAGAAAATAGGGGAAAAAAAGAGAATTAAAAATAAAAGTGGAAGGACTAATGGAGTTAGGATTGAACTCAATGAAGGTTGAACTTTTAGCCGGTGATCGAAGCTTGAACTTTTGGCTGGCAGCATAAGCTTGAATTTGTGGGTTTGATTGGTGGTAGAAGCTCCCACTAAGAAGAGAATGAATTTTTAATGGTTTATTTTGATTTTTCTTGATTTTTTTGGGTGCTAAATTATGATTACTTTAAAGCCCAAAGCTCATAACTTAAATTTTTTTGTTAAAGTCCAAACTAAAATATTTTAAAAAGCTCATATCATACTCAAATAGACCTTGTAAACAGATGCAATTTGAAACTCATGGTTTGATTGAGTTTTTGAAATGTTATGATTTAGAACCCGCGCCTTAATCAATTGAGGCGTGAGTTTTGAAAGATCAAGGAAACATGTAGTTTTTCAATCTTTTTTCCAGCACCTTAGGAGAAAATGGGTTCCGAGGCACTTGTTTTGAAAGTGTTTTTAAACCTTGGATTACTACAAGGTAAGTGTATTGAGAATTTGATGACTTAGGATGATTTATCCATGAAATCTTGATAAGGTCATGTCTTTTTTTCCTGAGTTCCTTACTGATATTAGTGATCTCTTTTGAGTCCCTTCGTTCCTATAAATTTTCTTTAAGGTTTATTATGTGACTTGCCCTAGGTGAACTAGAAGACAAGCATGGCTTCTATATTGAGTGTCATGGAGGTATTGGAGTGTAATTAACCTTAGGGATTATTTCCCTTCTGGAGATTTTTGCACTTTTTTTTTAAAATTTTAATTTTAAAGTTAATAACATCATAATGTGAAAATTTTTTGTGAGTAATTTACACAAGTTTTGATAAAAATAATTCTTCTTACTTCACTACTATCTTCTTTTATCTCTTATTGTGGAAGCTCCTATTATGAAAAGCCCTTCATATCTTAATCAAAGTGTCATTCCTCTGTTAGTTTCCTGATTACTTCGAGCTATCAATAATGTTTGACCTTGCTGGAGCATCAAATTTTATAACCGTATAATCTAATATGTTAAACCATATAGTTATGTTATCCCTTGCAAGTAGGTAGTTGCTCAGATATTCATATTTTATGAGACTAATTTTGAAGAAAGTTACATATGTGTCACTTTTGACGATTTATAGATTTTTATGATGATCCATCTAGCAAAAAAGTCCACATGAATTAGATTTACCGAGAAATGAATTATCATGATCTACCAATAATTACAAATAGCCATGTTATTCTTTACTGCCCCTTCAACATGATTGTTGATTCACGGACTTGTGTCGTTGGAAAAAACTATTAGGTCTTCCCTTCAATTATCCAAAACACCTCACAACGAGGCAAAATGCCATATACAATAGAAAAGTAAAGCAAAAATTTGGAATGACAATTAGCTAATATGGATAATTCACAGAATTAATCAGCATTGGACTTTTTTTGCAGGCTTAGCTCTCTGTATGTGTTTGAATTATCTTCCATCATGAATGTTTGAATGACCCAAATTGGAATATTTCTTATACAAATAATAGAACACCTTCGATATTAGGGAGGGATAGAAAAATGTAAACCAGTATCTGTAAATGCCTTGCTTCCATGATCATTGATAAAATTCCAGAATTGGTGGAGAGGCTTCTTGGCATGTTACTTGTTAGGTTCTCAGCAAGAATATCATCCGAAAATTAAATCAAGGCTAAGTATTATTCTTAAGATTAAACAAGATGAAACTTCTAATTGGCTAATTCAACAAAAATTGATGACTCTAATACTTATTATTGGATCTTTGGATAATTTATGTGATAACCGGTTCAATTACTAACACACACTAAGTCATCAGATGTTCTTCTGTATATCAAGCTCATATAATCCTTAACCATCAGCTTTGAACGTAGATTCAGAAATCATATTTGTGAAGCCACAGTGAAGGGAGATTTTGTATTGAAAATTAGGGGATAATACGAAGATCACTACGAGATCAAAGGGATTTTTGGACTTTGGAGTAGGAATTCAAGGCTCTTTAGAATAGGATGGATGTAAACCATAGAAGTAAAAAACAATTGGAGCCTACGAAGTTAATCAAATTGAATTTTAAAATCATTATTATAAGAAGAAAACTATGTAAAGTAATCAACGGACGTCCATGATGTTGTATAAATACTTAAGGGTTGCTTGGTTTGCTGTAAACTGTGTGAAGGAATCAAAATTCAGGAAATCTTTTTGTTCGTTTGATTTACTGCATAAGTGCTAAATTTTACATGTCGTAAGTTTAACTTTTAGTTCATTGAACTAATGTTTTAAAGGAGATCTCTCATGCTGCGAGGGCAGATGCTTATGTCTTGTCTCTTAAAAAATAGCTCCCATCACTCCGTGTGTTGTTTATGTTAAGCTGATACAATAACTGCAGAAAAACTTCACAGAAGAATTGCAGGAAGCGGAAATATGTAAACCGCAGGGAACTGAGAGAAGGAAACTTCTAGAGTTTGATCTGTATATTCAAGCTACAGTACACACACACAAAACAGAGCTTGTTGTAAAGAAAAGGGTGTGATTGCAGGAAATTGCAATCAAAGGTGAAGATGAAGATTTCTGAAAAAGTTGTTATTCTGTAGTACTCGACAAGTGGAGCTAAGAGCCTAATTTTGG